TTATTCGCTTTAAAATCAGGAAACTTCAACGCAATTTTGCTCTCGCGTTCATGGAAGATAATGTGTAAGATACATTAAACGATTGATCAACATTTAAAGAAGAATGTTTATCATTTTCACCTTAAATTCAAGATTAATTTGGTACAGTGTTGTTATTAAATAAATACGTGTTGTTAGCGATATTCTGACGATTAAAATACGGCTTTGTAATATTCAAACTTCCAGAATGCGTCATTCCAAACCGATGAAAGTTAATATGATTTTCACTGACAGCGAGTGTCGCCAAATTATGAAATTATATATTCATACAACGCATTTCGGAAGTTTGAATATTACAAAGCCGCAGTTTGGTCGTGTGGCATGCCGCAAATTAATAATAGTATTCATTGGTATCGGTAAATATCGAACGGACGATGCGATCGATCGTTTGTTTATATTCGATATGTATAGCAATCAAAAGACAAACTATTGTTCGACGTTAGACAATATGTATTTTAATAAAATTAACACTACGATACAGACTTCAAACTGCTATATTTTTCAAATACGAGCATTTAAATACAATTGTAGACGTGCGCCACGAATCGAGTCAAGTTCGACCAATTCCAAATTGTTAAATAAACGAACTGTTCGAACCGAAGTTCCAACAGCGAATCGATTTTTACCGGCTCGATCAAAGGATTCCCTTTGCGACTGCAAATCCGAAAAATGTCTGTAACGCCATGGGTGGGGGTGGAGGTGGATTTTCGACGAGAGCTTCCAGGCGCGCGATAATCGGCTGAAAATCAAAATTACGCTGTCGTTTTGCTCGCTTTCCGGTTACCGCCAATTAGTTGACGAGAAACGCGTTTGAAACTTTTCGTAAATGCATCGTCGGTGAGTTTTTGTTGGTCCGTACGAACCGATTAACGATACCCGTGTTTACAAAATATCATTTTCAATGGAGAATTTCAATGGGCGTAGGCACTTTGATTGGTTCTCCGGGTGGGAGGAATTACGACAGAATAATTGATGTCAAATATTCGCGATCAAAATTCCTCTTTTCAAAATACATTTTTCAAGTCTGATCTAATCCTACTAAAACAAATATTTCACAATATTTCACTCTGGGGTGAGCACGATTGACAATTCGTGTTTATTGAAATTTATCTTCCACTTTACATCTCGTTATTAATAACGATGTTATCAAACATAATTATGAAGGGTTGAAATGTATAATTTAGGGGTCGAACAGTGCAGCTTTTAAATTACTTATTTCTTGTTGCACATTAGTTCCGTCGATTCAATTTCAACAATTATTTTTGGTCGCTTCGTAATGTTACGTGAACGAACGCGGCGAACCGCGAGCGCGTTTCGTCCGTGTTTTACCGCGTTCCAATTCCGCGTTGTTTATCCGACGAGCCGCGCGCGGAAAATTTTGCCTGCGATCAGAATAACGGCCAATAGAACGGGTTATCTTGCAATCGGGTCCGATGGAACGCTTGTTTTTCTTCGCGCCACTTCGAACGCCCGATGACCGAAAAACGGCAATCAAGCGGGGGAATTTTGGTCGTTCGCCCCCCGAGTCTCGTCGAAACGTACTTTCGCGAATAATCGAGTCGAACGTACTCCCGTGCTCGAATCTAGCAAACCGACGCGATTGTTTCGCCGCAAAGACGAGATTAGGACCACCGAAGTTTCCACCGTGCGATTAAACCGTTTAAGGGTGTACTTTCCTCCCGAGGGTTTCTTTATGGGACTTTTTTTTATCAAACTGTGGCGTCGTCCAGCTCGAAACTTTACACATTTATCCCCTCCCTCCGTACTTTCGATCACGCGATTTTCTTGGGCGGAATTCTGCGTGATTCTAACGAAGAAAGTCACGCGTTGATTTGTTTGATAATGTGCAGAGATGTACTTAATTTCCTGTCGATTTTAACAATTGTTAAGAAGTGAATTATCAAATATTCCCATAAAATATTCGAACAACTCTAGGTCTTTTTCGTCCAGCACGAAAGATCGATCGTTGAACCAATTTTATCGGCCGACACGTCGATGGAACAATAATTAGAAGTGCAACTGTATCGGAAGTGGACGTGTCGATCGGAAAACGTTCCCGCTGTAATTCCAATCGTTCCAATCATCGGTCGTTTAACTCTCCTTTCGCTTTCGAAACGTGACCAAAGGGTTCTGCCCCGAAGCATCCAGGAAAGCTGTTCGCGAATCGGTATTCGCTGGTTGCCGTTTCTCCATCGATCTCTGACTCCGACGAATCCCGTTCCCGTCGTTCGGATCAAAAAGAAAACCGTGGAGAACGAAATAGAACATCTGCGCCCCCGTCTTTCTTCGTTCTTTATCGCCGTTACGACGGAATTTATGATACGAACGATCGTAGCCATTTTTTTGGATAACTTCTGCATATCAACAAATTTAAATTCGCGAAGAATGCTGAAAACGTTAAATACTGTTCGAAATTTCGAGTTATTTATTAGCTTCTCCCCTTTCGAGCTCTTCTAAACTCATTGCATATTTAAAAAAGTTTGTCAGAAAATGGTGGATCTCGTTTGGGAAAATCTGGGAAATTTGCAATGGAGAAACTCTGATAAATACAGTAGGAATTATTTTATTCTATCAACGTTTCATCCTTGTGTAAATTATTTGCAACAAGAGCTGAAAAGAATAGTGAAAAATCGATTCGTTTTGGAACGACCATAAGTTTCGACGAGCAACGTGCTCTTTCCCTCGTCGAGGAGTGGTGAAATTAGGGGAAAGAGCGAACGCAGATAGGCGAACTGAAGAATGCATCGCATTATGATGCATCTGTTCGACTAGACATCCTCTTTTACTCGAAAACAGAATAAAGCTGCGGAGAAATGGCGGGCCAAACAAGACTGCGTTTCAATAAAATCATGCAAGAGAGCATCCGCTGGTGAAATCCAGGCGATGCAATGTAGCGTTAAAATATTTCATTGGAAACTCTCTCGTGGCAGCATGAACACTTGGAAACACAGACAGTCCAAAGATAAATTCCCTACGCTTGTACGACTCGCCACGAACATGAAAGCCTGTCAGTCAGAGTCTAATTTTATTACTAAAAAATTTCAATGGCCGAATAAACATAGCTCGAATTATTTTAATTAATTGGTTTTGGTCCTCCTCGGTAATACAATTAGTTTGGTGTTACTGAACTTAAAAATAAAAATAATATGTGAGGGAGCTGCTATGGAAAAACATTCCAGAATACAAGGAACCGAAGTGGACGAAACCCAATTACCGAACAGTTTAAATAATTTAATTAAAACGCCGCGAACGGTTGACGAATAATTAAAAAGAAAAATATTTTGCAGCCTTTGATCGAGATCTTCGTCGAAATCATAAAACAATTTCGACTACTGCTCCTCTATTCCCGATTGTTTTTTAACGAAATCTATACGGAATCTTCGTCCCGTTTTAAATCAATTAATTATCAGTCGAAACGTCCAATTGAAATACTATTTATACATTCTTCGTAATTTGACGAAAATTGACCAAAAAAATTACAAGCAATTTGTTTAGGCGTCTAAAAAAAACTATTTTCGCGTTTTCTAAACACACCAGTGCCCGATGGATAAAAGTTTCCCGTAGTCGCCGTTTGTTAATCTCGGTTATCTTTCGGCTGCGACAGGATTCTACAAACATTGTCTATAAAGGAGACGAAACCCGAGAGAGAGAGAGGAACGGTACGAGCGTAAACGTGGAAACTGCGGAGCGTCAAGATTAGACGTTTTCCAGGCTGGGCGTAATACCCCAAGGGTGGCTTATCCCTCTAAAGGGATACTTGGCGGTCTAAATGGACTTTACTCGCGCGATTAGATTAGCGCTGGAAACGGGCCTTAATTGTCGTATATTCCAGCATCTTCGTCGACCGGAATATCTAATTAGAACGATAAATAAACCGCCCTGATGGCGGCATTACAGAAAACTGAGCCTTCCGGATCCTTTAAAACTCTCACTCTTACCCAAACTTCTTAACAATTCAACATATTTAACGCGTATAAACTCGGATGATAGTCTTTTGGATCGTCCAATTTATTTTATCTTTTATCGCCAGAAATCTAGCCTCGGAATCCTGATTTTGAATCGCCACTAAGCGGCTGTTAATCACGGAATTGCTGAGAAACAATCCGAGCGATTTATGCATCGTTTTATCCGCGCTCGAGAGTTCTCCCGTATCTCCAATTAAAACAAGAAAAAAAAAACGAAAATAGAGAAAGAAACGAACACGGCTAATCAATAAAACAGAATATTGCGGTTAGTTGCTTTACCGTTTTAATTGGTAATATAACTCTTTCGGGTCGGTGCCAATCCATGGTAACGGATATTCGTTGTACGTTGTGAAAAAAAAAAAATATTTTTTAATATTCTTCAGCTTGACGCCGCTGTTCGCGGTGGAAATATCGGTTGCAGGAATCGTTGCGAGATTTTTCCCTTTTTTTGTCCACCACGAAGATTCTGAAATTTCATTTCGTGCGTGTAAAAATAGATTGGCTCCAACGAAGTAGACAATATTTACTGGAAAACCGATCCATGAATTTCAAAGAGCGCTTCAACGTTTTTACGCGATCCTTGTATCCGTCTAAATTTGTCCAACTACGTTTCGATACCCGTTTCAACCCAATATTTACCGTTACGTCAAATATCGAATTCTGTACTCAGTTCCCCCCAAATCTATATTCATACGTTGCAACGAAATAAAACGCTGATAATGAATTTCAGCTGGGGGATGCTAAATAAACGTACGACTTCGAAACTTCTGGACCATCTAGGGATACTAATTAATTTGATATAAGAAATACCATATATGTAGTAATTACTTATTAATTCAATTTATTGAGAAAAGTGTTCTCAGAAGCTAGAAATATTTTTCCTTTGACGTCTCCTTTTAAAGTTTAACTTTTTCAATGAATTCGTCTTTAGTGAATAATTAACGTGATGCTAGTTTTTAACGAAAAGAGGAGTGAAGAATCGACGTTTGCTTGCAGGTGCGACAGGGCTGAAGGATTTGACAATCAACGTGCCAGCAGTGGTGCGATCGGGTGACACAGTGACACTGTCCTGCCATTACGACCTGGAGGGCTTGCCATTGTACACGATACAATGGTTCCTCGACGGAACAGAGTTCTATCGATACCTTCCCGAACGGGATCCACCGTACACCACTTTCGTCGTGGACGGAATACACGTGAACGTAAGTACATCCATCGACTTAGCCCAATAACGAACTTTACGACCCCTCTGGCCCTCAGCCTCGTATTGCGATCTCCGATTGCCGGCGATATTGTAACGTTTCGACCCTCAGGGCCACGAATTTTATGGCCCTCGACTCGATAAAACGAGACGTACAATCACACGCGCGCAGATAATAAAAATTAGTGGCAAACGGTACTCGTCTTGCTTGTACCAAATTAACCTTAGAACCAAAAAGTTTTCCGTGCAATTCAATTTGGCGGAATATAACGAAGAATTTGTATTTTAATACAAATGGTAAAGTTGGAGGTAAATTCTTTCGTTTCCGATCGAGTCGAAAATAACATTTAAACGATGAAACTTTGTAAATATGATTTTTAGTCGAGTGCAACGGTATCGATGGAAACGAGTCCGAGTTCGAAACGCGTACAATCGTGAGCTCGAGTTATTGTAAAATTGAATGCGTAGCACAATCGCACGCAGCGTACCGGAAACAGCGACGACGCAGACCCTCCGTTAATGCGAAACGTTGTTAATTACGGCGGGAATATAGCATCTTCATCGGGGTCGGCCGAAAACGCGGCTTGTTACGCCCGATTCCTCAATTAATGCGCGCAATTAAACTTCAGCTCTCTTAATGAGCGCTTCAATAACAGTTTATGACGTAAATCTCATTAAGTTCGCGAGTCGTTCGTTAGATTCGGTGCTCGGCCGCTTGTGAAACAGGACCGTCTGCTCGTGGAAGATTCGAGGGGAGAAAAACCGAATTATAATCAGGCCAAACTCGTCCCATCCAGTTGAAAACTTTCGTTACACTTTCGTATCTCGTCCGCAACGATGAAATCCTTTTTCTCGTCTCGTTCTATTAACTTCTAATAACGACCGCGATGACCTTACGAAAATTAGCCAATATATTAAGCCTGGAAAAATTTTATTTCGACGGAACGATTACTTGAGCGAAAGTGAATACAAAATGCGGAGTAAACTTTTTTCGTACGGGGTTTCGTTTTCGAGAAAATTTATATCGAAAATTAGCGGTCTTGAATACTGCGTCTGACCAATATTCGACTCCTCTACTTGCGGTAATATCTGTAACTATTCTTGGTGGTTTCTATCGATCTTACTGGCTCCATCGTCTGTGTTTCCACACACCAACACAGATATAGTGAGTTATAGTTAAGCATTATTGAAAATTAGCGGTACTTAATACCATGTCTGACAAATATTCCACTACTCTACTTGCGATAGTATCTGTAGGTCATCTTTGCTACCTGTAATAGTTCATTTCCAAAGTTAACGATTGCGTTGTAATATCATATTGACACGATAAATGAACGAACGATTTGAAATAGACTTTCGACCGAATAATACGGCAAACTGACAAAACTACAAACACGCAAATATTTCGTATCCAACATTGCATGGTAGTTCCGTTTCGAGCAGAATGGAATGCAAGGCTCCGCGTTACGTGGCAACATCATCATGATCAAGCCCGTAAATTCGCTAAAAATTCATGAGCATTGCAAAAATTCCGGATTACGTTGCATTTACGTCGTCGTTACAACGCGTCGGGCACGCTGAAAATTTGCGAGCATTGCAACAACGCTCGTTCCACTGCCTTTAATACGATACCGTGATCGCGAAATTTTGCAAAAATCCCAACGATCTCGTAACGGGTCAAATATTCGCCGACCGTAATTCTCGATCGTCAGGATTTCGCCGCCCGTTGATAAATTCGACGGCGCGTCGTTATTCTCGCGGCTGGAGGATGCGAAAAAACGTGCAATTTTCTTGCGAGGGACGCTACAAGGAGCGACGCGACGTCCATTTATCAGGGCAGTTCTCTGTTTCGAAAGCGAGACGAGATAAGGCAGAGTGGCGTCTCGGTTTCTTTGCCCCCCTCGTCCCCCAAGTCGAGGATCCTTTTTTGGATGGTTCGCGCGAAATACATCGCGCGTTTTTAGAATCTTATCGTCAAGTTGAGTCACCGAGTTTACTTCGTCATTGACTGAGCAACAAAGATTTACCACTTCTTGTTACAACGAGTTCGAAAAACGAACCTCGTGAAAATTAGAGAACCTAACATTTAATTTCTATCCAATTGCGTAAACGTTTGATCGAATTTCGCGCAGCTCGTAACACGCTCGATCCCATCGCTGGCCCTCGCCCTACCGAATGACGCAAGAAATCCTCCTATCTGAATGGTCTCTCATCACCCAATTAGATCCTCCACCTCAAAGAAAAAGAAATAGATTAATTTGCTCCGTCGAGTATCTTAGACGCGGCGAATGAATGGAAATTTTCGTTAGAATCTCCGGAACAAGTACGTTTTTAATTACACCTCCAGATCAGCAATCTCGGTTCGTTAAAATCGCTAAACAATGGTCGAAGACAATGATCGAGGGATTGAAATAGAAATTGTTGAAAAATCTCAAAAATATCGTAGAATTTGGAAGTGTCGCGAGGGCCTCGAGCGATAAAGTTAGGCGGTACACGGTGTGTTTTGCCGTGGCAAAGAGTGGACTCCGATAAGAGTCTCGGAGGCTCGTCGCGCGCTACAGGGGTGAAACTTTTTACCAGCTCGCGCCCCTTCAACCCCCGGGGACGAGCGTTCTTCCGCAACGTAAGTGCGAAGGTAAAACGTGTACGTGAACCGGCCCCCTCCGAAAGAAATCGATAGGGCTGATTTATGGCGTGTGCTACGACCGCGACACGACCCTTTGGAATTCCGTTCGAGTGGATTTGAACCTGGGTCAAGCGAGTCCCGTGTTTTACCCGCATCGATTCCTCCCCTGTCCCCACCCCCCCTCCCTCTGGCCGTTGCACGGCCCGTCAGCCCTCCGGGTGCTACGTTTCTTTCGACCCGCGGGGGCTCTCTTTAAATATTTACCGTGCGAGCGAGACGCCGCGATTTTTGAAGTCGTCGACCGGGGCTGATTTATTGCCGCCGATCCTGATGCTCGATCCCCCGGCAAAGCATTCTCGCCGCAACGAGCTTTCCGGGCCACGGAACCCGGTGGTGCTTTCGGACCGTCCGGCCGGGGCTGAATTTTTCCCACTCGTCGCTTGGAAGTTACGCGGTCGCCATTGTTTCTCCGCTGGTTGTCGCTGCTAAGTCGTATCGAAAATTCCCATGGAACGAAAGGGTGTTTAAACGATAATTTTCAACTTATCACGTCGTGAATGACAAATTGCAAAAGCGAACAATGCGAAACGAAACCTATAAAATTATCTTCTCCTCCCCCAAGGAACGTAAATTATAAATTTGAGAATATTGTTGTACATTGCAAAGCACCGTAAACCTGTGCGTATGGTTCCAAATGCTTAATAAAAAAAATAAGAAGTTACAACAACCTCGGATCTTACGACTGCTGTAAAATGGAATTCAATATCTTTTTTTCTCTCGAGAGAGAAATACTGCTTTTAGGGGCCGTGATTACTCCGGACGAGGTGCAACGCGACAATTCCAAACACTCGGGCGTCTCGTATAAACCGGAGGAAACGCCGAAAGGGGTGGGCAGAGAGCGCCACCGTCGTCGCATGGCCTCCGGAGTGACTCCCGTGGCTTGATCAGCACCGTAAATAAGTGGTTCGCCTTTCCGGAGCTCCTTGAAAATTTCCCAAGAGCTACAGAAGCTAAGCTTTCTTATTATTGCGTTTCGCGACATCTTGGCCGGGGATAGTCGTTCGTGAAATCCGTCCTGATGGCAACGAAAGACACCGGGCAAAGACGTCACCGACGGCTCCTTTTCGTTCTCTGTTTCCCCCTCGCTGGTTACCGTCTCGTTTCTTTCCGCGAAATTAACGCGCGAACTGCATCTCACTTCGGGGGAAACGTTCACGAACTTTGTATAGGGAGATTCGAATCTTTTAGGTGTTAGGTCACTGTAACCATTGGAAATTTCAACACTTTTCAATACATTACAAGACTAACAAATATAATAATTTTCTGCAGCAATGGTAGATAAATGTTTCCAATCCTCCGAGTTTGATTGATTCTAACATTTACAGAAGGATATTACCCAAATTGTTATCACACTTTCTTCTTTAAAAGAAACACATTGTCTATATATGTAATCCAAGTTCTCGTACATCTTCCCGTCTCTATATCGCCCGATCGACGCATCTTGGATCGATCCTTTCACGCAGGAAAGCTATCGTCGCGCTCGATGGTATAATAATTGCACCAAGTTCCGCTGTTCTCGATGTTCTTCTTGTTCGAGCCTCTTTGTCCGAGACCTCAAAGGAACTTCGTTAACGTTCTCGTGGAAAATATACTCTCGGGAGCTGTACCGTCAGAACGCGGAGTATCGGTAATCACTGGAGAGGGAGGACAAAGTTTGAGGACGAGCGCGTGACAAAGATAATGGGAGGGGTTGGGATCACAGAGCAACGATGTCCGAGGGATGAAATTTTAAGCGACCGGATGCGTTGCTGACCAATAGATTCGCCGAAACCCCGAAATTTCTACCGTTTCGCACATTCGACCAGAAATTTGATAACACAACAGGCCGGGCAAACATTTACAAATATTTGTAACGATCGAGGGACTCGTCGGACTACATTCGAGTGTTTGAAAAATATTTATACTTTGGAATTTCACGAGTGCACAGAAATTTCTTCGTCATTTAAAATTGGCTAATAAATCAAAGGTCAGAGAAGGAATTTTCTTTCGGTTCGCTCGATGCATAATAATTTATTTCAACCTTTGCCTCAGTTTTTTCTTCGACTCGAACTGATTGGTATACTTTGCGAGTAGGTAGCAGGGGTTCCGAAGGAAACTTCGCGATCGCAGCGTTCGTAATATCGATCCCACGGGCGCACGGGAGCCAGGAAAAGTGTGAAATATTGAAAAATTACGAGCGATCGAGCCGAGCGCTTAGATTCTATTTCCGATCAGCTGTTTCCTATCGAAAACATTTGCAAACCCTAGTTCCGGGCGATGTATCGCCAAGTGAAAACCAACCGAGCTGTTCCCGTGCCAATAAACAGAGAAACGGATGCGGTAGCGGCTCCATTTCCCGGAAAAATCATAAAAGGATCGTACAGGCACGGAAAACTTTTCCTTCGAATTTCCCTTGTCATAATGAGAGATAAAGGTAAAGAGGTAAAGTGGACGTAAAACGACGTTTGAAGTCGTAATACAGAATAGAATCGACGCAAAGACGAGCAGAAACCCGATAACAAAATAAACTTAAAAACGACAGAAGTTCGTACGAACGCATATAATTCGGGAAACAAAATTTTTTGGTCGCGCGAAAGAACTTAACAAATCGCGGGGGTCGGGAAAAATATCGAGAAATAAATTCATGCGTTCGCGACGAGAGTAGTTGCTCGTAAATCGTCTGGCGGGATTCAAATTCGCGTTCGAACTACGAAAATACGGTCGACGCGTAAAAGTAACGACGGCTCGTATAATATTTACAGGAAGTGTGTGCAGTGTATAGGGCCGAGATAGTCGAACGGCTGGAGACATTCCCGTGACCGTTCGACTATGACGCGGCTCGTAGTTAAGGGGCGGAATTATGTGAGTCCAATACGGCGATAACCCTGGGCGAACCTGAACGTCTCGACGTTACCGCGCCGATAATCCCACCTTTTTATCGCCACTTAGGTGTATCCCCTTTTATTGGTCATTACACGTTATCGCGACACTGAACCCGAACAAACTGGCGGGAACGATATGCTGGCCGTCGCCGGGGCTTTATCCGTCCACGCAGCCAACGCAGCCCGCGATTTTTGTCGCCGCGTGAAACTTTAAACAGGACGTATACAGGGGAGAAAAGGTATATCGTGCCCGTCGTCGGGATTTTATGGATCCGTTCGGGGCCAGTTGTTCGTCGAGATATTCGGAAAGGCGTCACCGCCGTTGAAAATAATTAGAGAAAATGGCTTGTAAATTATGCACGTACAGGTTGGGGCGATTTTTCGCGCGAAAACTGGTCGAAAATAGATAACAAAGTTCTCTTTGCGCCGACCTATTATCTAGACAAATAGGGTGCGCTGAGCGTTATGTTAAAATAGATGGAATTTTTAACGCGGGGATTCATTTACTTAAGTGGATACCGTTCGCTGTTTTACGACGAAAATTCAGCGACAAGAAAAAATTCTGAAAACGTTCTAAACTATAAAAATATTTGTACGAGCATCGTATTTTAGAAAATTCATGCAGCGTAGCGAACGTCACGAAGTGTTTCCACGTTTACGGTGTCTCTCTGTTCTCGCGTTGAAAAAAGATACGCGCCGTCAGAATGTCTGGAATTATCCTGTGTGTGGACATTACCCGGCGCTATTTGCGCTATGATACAACACAACTGACCGTGTTTCAAAAGCAAATATTGTATTCATTCCCCTCCGCAAACAGGAGCCTTGACAAATATTCGCTCCCTTGTCGTGCTCGCTGGAACGTTCCAAATTAATAAATCAGAATATACAATTTTTCAACGTCCGCCAATATCATCTACTGTCGCGTAATTCTGCGAGTGGATAAACAACGATTTCAATCAACATCCCGTATCGTTTCACTCTGGCCACCAAGTTTTCAATTTCCGGGTACTTAAAAAATTACCAGGCGCAGCGAAACGCGGATAATTAAAATTCCCCGTCGATCCGCGACGAATAAATATATTATCGAGTCGCGCGATTCGTGCACCGTGGAATCTTTTTTATTTAAAAAAAAAGAAGGAGGATCGTTCATTACGGGATCCAGCAATCATGGCGTTAAAAGGGAAGATGGGAGCGGTGTCTAATAATATTCGAGGATCTCAGAAAGGTTCACCTGACCACTCAGCGTCCAGGTTTCAACGGAGACACGACTTACCTTTCAACGAAGCGTTCAACGTTGAGGAGGGGTTGGAAATAGGGCGGGGGGTGGTTCATCGATATTTCTTTCCATCGGGTGCGCCGCCACGCTTCCATCAGGAGCGGAGGAAACGGTGAAAAGGACTTGTCCCCGCATCCGGTGTAGTTTGTAAAGCAGGCAGAGGGACCTGACGCGATGCATATAAATGATTGCAACCGGCGGGGACGCGGGGGAGGGACGGCACAGTCCGATCGAGATTTAGACATGGAGAGGGCTAGATGGAAGGTCGATAGTCGCGTGGAATACAAAGTAATTTCAGCGGAGGCTGCAGCGTCGGGACGGGAATCGAGCTGGAAGAAAAAGAAAGAAACGCCGGGCATTCGGGAAATTATACGTCTGTCGCGGGAATTTAAACAACAGTCGAATTCTGTCGACGAACACGACGTCGTTTACAAAAATTTTAGTATATGTCGTTTCTACGTTCTATAGCTACTATAACGTCTATTTTGGGAAACGCAATTTAAGGAAAAAATAAAATATCAGCGCAGTTAATGATACTCTGTCTCAGCACTAACTGAAAGCAAATAACAAGTACGCGTGTACGTTACTGCGCAACCTTACGTAACCTCCTCGAAAAGGACTTTCTGAGGAAAAGTTCCGAACCCTGAGAAATCGATTTCGCAGCCAGGGTCGAAGAGGGGAGAATTTTTATTTCGGCTCGCGGTCTACGATCGTGCGTTAAACGTGGGAAATCCGAAAACTACGATGCTTTGGGAAACGACGGGTTCGATTTGGAGCCGGAGTACGGTCGAGGGGTTGGGGTGCGAGTCGCTTGAAACACTGGCGAACGTTTCAAGCGAGTGTGAGACACTTTTACTACCGGTCGATCGAACGAGTTGAAATCTGATAGCTGCAGACACGAACTGCGAAGAAGTTTCTCCTCGTCTTCGAGATATCGTTCCGATCCAAGTTGATTCCGGGCCGTTATAGAATGGATACGCCAGTAAAACGTATTCTTCTATCGGTTACATTCGAACACTTCGACCTCGATTCGGTTTCGCAAATTCGATTAATTTCCTCTATCGTTGCGGCGAAATGTTTCGTCCGCGATTTCCGGTTCCGCCCCTCTCCGAAAAATGGCTTTCTATCCGATGAAGACAAATTTTAAAAAACATTTTTAATTCTATAAAAGTCACGCTAAATAAATGATGAAAATCTTGAATCGTTCGGTCGATATCGTTCACTTGGAGAAATTCTTAAGAAATGTGTGATTGTTCGATGGGAAAAAATAATTTCTGATCTTATCTCCATAGGGTGAACTCGGTGACAGGTTTTCGAGCGTCGCCTACAAACGGTTCAATTCTGTTTCACAGGTCTCGAAATCGAACACGCACGACGTGACTGTCGTCGACGTGTCCAGGAAGCTGACGGGGCTGTACAAGTGCGAGGTGTCGGCCGGAAGTCCCTCCTACCACACGCTGATCGAGAAGGCCTCGATGGAGGTCGTGGGTGAGTTCGAAGGCAACCCGTAGAATTAAAAAGTTTCACCGAGTGGACAAATTCCTCATTCCTCGGGTCGCGTGGGACGTAATGCGGCGCACGTGCGCGGCTACGTGCGCCCCATTTTCATGTCAGATTTAGGGATCGTCGCGAGATCCCCGGAAGAAACGCGACGAAGCCGACCCCCGGCTCGATCCTCCTCGGAAAACCGTCACCGAGATAGAAATCCGAACGTCGCCCTTTTTAATTATTGCCAGACTCGTGAACGTTAGAATTTATCGTCGCTGTGGTACCTCGTTTAACGACCAAAACCTGGCCTCGCCAGAAGTCTACTATGTGAAATATTTCACATGTTTTTGATCGATTTTTGTGATTACCTTCGAATCGATATTTGCAAAATTAAAAATATTCCAAATAGTGTATAAATTCGTTGAAAGAACCATCATGGATAAGACATGCTTTGGAACAGTATTGGAAAATGTACCGAGTTTCATAGTAGAATGAAGTTTTACAAAGTCTGTCTTCCCGCCGGGGCAAGAATTGTGTCTTAAAGCGAGGGACTACAGTCTTCTTATAAGCAAATAAATTTTAATCGAGAAGCTAGAGGGGTTTGTTTTTAAAAAACATAGAACGGACCTTATTCTACCACGCGTAAACAGTGATTAGATTATATAGTTTCGAGTTTTCTTTGCTAGTGTGCTCGAGTGGGATAGATGCAAGAAGGGAGGGAATTCTCCCTTAGGGGGAGTCGTACAGGTGTTTCCGGACCGCCGAGCCCTGTCAACCCCCGTGTCTCTAGCCGTTCGATGGTTTGGCTCGTCGCCAGACGTCGAGTTAGCGGCGCCCATAGCAGTCGCGTGTGCTAAACGACGTAATTATTATGCCTTAGACGCCCCAAAAACCGACCCGACGATCGGCATCCAGAAGGAGCGTATAGCAGTAGGCGAGACACTCCGGGCGAATTGCACCACTGGCAACTCCAGTCCCGCCTCCGCCATTACGTGGAAGCTGAACGGGGATCTCGTAAGTATATCGCCAGCCAGATACCTCTATCTCTCTCTCACCTTCCACCCCCCCACTATATACGTCCCCGAGCCGTAGCTACGTGACCTTACTGGATGATTAAAGTTCCACACGAAAGACACCCCCGCCACGTCTTCTCACCCGCGCCACTTCGCCGTTCCGTTCCATTTACCTTCCGCCCGTTTGCGCTATCCTTCGTCCCCCGCGCGTTCGCGCCTCGGCTAGGTGGCTACCAATCCATTGGCCAACCACCCTTTTTTTTAAACAGATAGTTCCTCAATCCCTTTTCCATCATATTTGAGCAATAAAAGTCGATGGAAGTGGCTACTGATCGGGCAAGATTTAACTATCCCAGAAAAAATTGGTGTATAGCAAGCTAGAATGTCAACCATCTTTAGTCTGTTCGAAACCACTCTTAATCGTTCGTGAGTTCTCCAAATAGTTTACAGCGAGTGTGACCACCCACTGATGGTTTCTAATTCAACGTTCGTAACTTTAATTCGCATACTTTCCTTCTCCGGAGTAAAACTAATTTGCGATATCTTCTCACGTATCCGAGTCGAAAACTTTTATACGGAACATTTTGCACGCGCGCGGCCGCAACCTCAATTTTCACTCCAAACAAATTGCACGTCATAACCACAATGACACACAGCCATCGTTTATTCAACGCGGGCATGCGATTGCCACGATTGTTATAATAAACATCAATTATGGAAGCGAAACGATTCGACGTTTTAGCGGGTCGACGATGCAAAAAAAAAATGATAATTTTCGTGGCGTCGAGCTACGTTGTTTTCCATAGATCGACGTCTAATTTATACGATCCCGGCCAGCCAGCGAGCGCGCGAAATAAAAATTCGAAACGGGGCGCCGCGGTTTGCAATAATAACGCCGCGCGATTATTTCAAGTGAATTATTAATGTTCCCGATATTACCGGGGCCGAGGCAAACACATTCTCGGGTCCATTGTGACGGATTAATTAGTTAGAGCAATTTGATGTTCCGCTTATAATTCGTAATTAATTTGCGTCCGCGAACGAGTTATTCCGACGTGTACGGTGGACGTGTAAACACGCGTGAACATTTATGCTCCGGGGCCGCGATTCGGCGGTTTGTTTGACAAACGGCAATTATTTCGTCGCGGGCGTCAAAAATGATTCTCCGCGGCATCGTTCTGTGCCAAATCGAACACTCCTCGGACCGTTATATCGGATTTGGGATCCTGAAATCTCCGTTTACGTTTCGAAGCTATGCAATTATCCTCGTTATTACAGAAATAAATCCCTCCATATGTTAAAAGAAGGATGTTCTCCGTATTTTATTTTTTCTTTTCGCTTGTACTGAAACTCTGGTTGATAAAATATCAACAAAATGGGACTGGTTGCTGCAGAAAACGTCCTCGACACGACCGATTCGAACACCAAGATGGCGACGACCGATGGCGTAGCGAAACTTCTCCGTGAGGCGGATAAATTTTGAAAGAATCCTCGAGGTATGCTCCGCATACCTTCGAGCCCTCGATCCCATTGCTCTGCTCGGCGAATCTCTTGTGCGAGGGTAATTCGATGTTAAAAAGCTTCGGATGAAATATACCTCGCTCCACTTCTTCTATAAATTTTCAAAACATTGAGAGACGAAGAAATATCGCCGCTGAGAATATTCTCTTGGACATAATTCCCTTTCGGTGGGAACGGTAAATTTGGTAAAATTATCGGAGAAGCTTACGACGGAATCAATAACGCTGGTAGCAGTCGTGATTCACGAAGCGACTGAAAAAGATATTTATGGGTCAAAGTTGAAACTTATTTGGAGATTGTTCCGTGCAAAGACATTTTATAAGCAACGACGGGGCTTGATAATAAGTAAATAGATCGAGGTCCGGTCGAACCGTTGTATCGGTAAAATATTAACGGCGAGAACGAAATCGCTACGCTGAAAAAGGTATCGTAATATCCATTTACGAAGCCAGGAAGGCGACGATAAATCAGACGCTCGCCTGACGCGATAAGCGATGGAAGGGCCGAAGATAAACTAATGAGTGTCGTTTCCTCCAGTTACGCCTTTTATACATTTCTTTTATACCCCTGTCTTTCGGTTTAATCGAGGTCGTTTGTCCCGGCGAAAGGTCCCACGGCAAATCTCGCGAATGCTAGCCAACGACAGAATATTTAGAGGAGCAATTCTCCGGAATCCAATTGAACAGAAATTTCATCCTAAATTCGGGGGAAATACGCGTGATCGTTCACGCGGAGAAGGTCGGAGGTCTCGGGGGACCCCAGGGAAATACGCGAGCGCATAAACATATATGAAATCCGTAAGCTCTTATGGGAGTCAATATCGTCGAGAACGGTTAGACAGAATAATTATATTTTCGCGAAATTCTCCACGGCTTATAAAATCAGGAAATAATTCGTGAAAATAACATCGATGATATCCCATCTCTTCGATGAATTTTTATCTCTAGTCCTTTGCTTTCAAGTTTTCAACAAATTCCCTGACTGCAAGTGACTATCGTATACTGTAAAAATTTTACAGTTACAGAGATACAAATTTATTTATATAGAAATAATTCGTCGTTACTAGGGGTACATGGTATTTTTTTTCGTTCGGAACGTTTGGTTTGTTTCCCCCGATTGTCGAACGATCTCCCGTTCGTTTCGCGAAGTCGTATAAAACAGCACAATATGGAAATGCGTCCATTTGTTCCGCGAGCCGGTTAAATCGAGCGTCGAACCGAGAATGGAGAAAAAAAAACACACACATACACCCACACACAATGGACGGGGAAGGTAACGAACGGAAGCAATCGACGTTCCTTCGATCAGCCGATGTTTTCGTCGATCGAAAACATATAACTCACTCTGGCCGTTGTAACCGGTTAAATGCGCCTGGGCCGTTGCGATTTAACGGAATAATTTGGCTGATTTAACAAATACCGCGGAATAACGATTTATTTGCATACGAGGCACCGTAACCGTTCGCCCCACCTACGCCGCCATTCCCCCGATTGCACGGATATATCTCGATGGATCCCGATAAATTTAATTCCCGCCGGTGCACGGTGCGCGAAACCTCGACCCAGTCTGTCGCTGAAACGCCAAATAACTAGTTACAGCACTGCGAACTGATTGAAAAACAAAACGGGACACGCCCGCGAAAAGATCAAGGAAAATTACGAAAAAAAGCGGGAAGAATTTTCGTGAAAGAAAAGCTCTCGGGAAGGATAAATCCTGTTCGATGGATTTGGAAGATGGCGGACGATCACGGACTTAAAAGAAAAGTGCAGACCATGGACGAATGGAACGGAGCAATAGCAAATACGGTGCTCTTCGTATCTTTGAATATGAAATTAAATATAACTGTTTGAAAATAGAAGACAGTATTATTCACTTTCCTCGACAAGACTATGGATTATTTCACGAATATTGTAACATTATTCGGGAAGCTGAATTTATCGCTTGGCTTCCGATTTATTTTGCGTATGTGTCCGTTCAAGACAGAATGGTCAAATCGTAGGATGGTACGTTGCTGGTGGAATCGTAACAATACAGACAACTGACAATAATAATTGTTTAGATCGCATGTTTCTTTAGATCAAATATCCTTAGAACTTGGCGCTTGCGTGACGAACGTGCCATTCGCGGAGAAAAGGTCCGTCCATCGGGCAAAGCAGGAAAGACATAAGGGGGAGTTATGTCAGCAAGCTATTAGCCAGGAACGTGTTCTTAGCAGTGTTCAAGTTCCGAGAAAAGTTCGCAATTGGAGGGCCCCGGAAATCCTACGAAACGTTGCCCAAGGCTTAAATGGGCCGCGATGTCGTGAAGGAAACGACGCCGTCGTTATTTTCCCGACGACTACCTACGCTTTTCCATTTTCAGCTCGGATTCCCGTTGACTTGTTCCCGTTTTCGGGACGGTAAAGTCTATCTAACGTCAGCAAACGCTACAATAGCTCCCCTAATAGATCAGGATCTCGTCTTCGTTCCTCGTGTATCGTTTAACCCCCGCTTCGCGAAAATTCGCTTTCCCTGATTACGTTCGAAAGGGAAGGAAACGTATCAGCGAATATCGCTTCTTGTTATGCAAAACTAGCCGAGTCGAACAATTATTGTTACAATGAAATTTCATTATTATTAGACTGGCGGTAGTTGAAACTATTTATGGACGATGTAATATTATTATAGCAATATTTCTGCAAAATAAATTGTATATACTTTCCACTAAAACATGATGATCGATTATACAACGCTTGACTTTCAAGAGATCCGATTCTAATTACTATTTACGAAATTAATTTATCGCGAAGGGAGGCTCGTCGTGTAACAGATATTGCAGAACACTTTAGAGAAGTCCCTTGGAAGGTGCGTTTGAAAAACGGCCCTTTCCGAGTGCTTCGAGTGAGTTTAGCGTCGCTAAGTTGAACACGCGGGAATATGACTCGCGAGCAGTGGTTTTTAAACGTTGTCAGATAAAAAAAATGCATCAATGAGAAACGGTACGTTCGACACGATGCGAGAAAAGCTCAGCTCTACGGTTGTCAATGAAACTTCAATGATATTTGCTAATCATATACGTTCCGTATGCGATGATCTCTAACGATGGGTTATTAATATTACAATTTTCTCGAAAACTTCCTATACAATTTTGTTATTCTTGACTTTCGTCTTACTCTTGACAACGATTTGCCTTCATTTTATTCAGAATAACGTTTGAACAAGTCAGCAGTCACGGCGCGTTTCACGCGTACTTCGGTTCCCAACCCCGCTCGTTTCCGGTTCACGCGTCGATGGCTTCGGCGCGGGCTGATTTATTTGACGAAATAATTTTCCCGGCGTCGCTCGACGGCCCGGCAAAATAAATTCGGCCGCTTTATGGGCACGGATCGGTTATAATTAACGCGTGCCAGCGACGTAGTTGAAAGCCGTTGAATTAGTTTCCTCATCGCGAGCGGAGCGAGACCGGGGGACACCGTCTCGAGCGTGACTGAAAATTCGCGTG